GCAGATGAAAATTGCTATAATGGTTGGGCATTTTCTAAAAGAACAGGTTCAGAATTGCCTTTCTATTTGTCTGAACACAAACCAAAAAAGCAAAAAATGAATTATTAATTTTACTACGATGTACGATGGTTGAACATTTCTGAAAGACAATGGAGGATAGCTAAAACGGACAAACATTACTTTTGATTGCTCTACGTAGAACTAGTTAGGACAACACTAACTGCCACGTAGAAGACTCAACCGTGATTGATTGGGAACCGGATCCTCTAACATTGTGAAGGAAAGTCACGGTGCTACAGTATTTGTCTAGTGTAAAATGAAGAAGGAAAGTTAGGGACTGTTAGTAGGTAGTTAGTAGGTTGTTTACTGTTGGTATTTACTGTAGATATAAATAATTTAAAATTGATTTTATTTCATTATCAAATTGTTTGTATGTAATTACTATAAATGTACACGGTAGATCATTAATTTGCAAATTAATTTAAATCATTTTAGCCATAATCACATGGATAGAAAGAAGGAAAGTTAGGGTATTATAACTTCTCTAACTTTTCTTCACAATGTTAGAGGATCCGGTTCCGATTGATTGCTCCTGTGGAAAACAGTGATTGATTGAGCATTGCCTATCTAGCTGTACACATGGTTCACATGGTCCTACAGTATACAAGTAATAAAAGAAGACTGAACCGTGTGAGGTGAGCAGTTTTAGTACCGAGGAAAAGAGACAGATTAAAAAAACTGAAATAGAAAGCCGCAGTTTCAGATTAAGGACGCTAAGGGCATCTACAACGCAGCCGCTTAGCTGAGGCCCCAGGGTTGATTTCCTAGCTATTTTGCATGGTTCCCGCCCGTGACCAGGATTTGGCCTTGCGTCGATTCCAGGTTTGCCGCCGGGCGCTCCCTCTCTTTCGCGTTTAACTTTTTAATCACCAGGCGTCTACAGACTTCTATTAGTGTTGGACACACAGGCTCTTACACAGACGCTACGCTTAAAATTCCTTCTCATTTCCTGCGTTGGGAAAATTGAGTAAATGAAAGAACAAAGTGATAGACAGATGGACAAAGAAGGGGGCTGGGAGGAACTGAATAAGATTGAGCAAACTGAAGATAGACAGATCAAGAAACCGAGAGAAAATGAAACCGGAAAAATAATGAGATAAAATGACTTGACAAACTGAAAAACAAATGATGAAAAAGAGGGATTACAATAAAACTGAGAAGACTGATGAACTAAATAAATGAAGAGAATTTGATAAAATTGATAGACTAGAAAACAAAGAGTGAGAACATAGAGGAAAATAAAACTGAAGGTCTAAAGACTGATACATAACTAAACTCTCAGGATTGATAGACTGAAGAATGATGCAAACTTAAAGACTGAATTAAAATAGACTTATGAAAGATTGAAAAAGACAATGGCATAGACCTACCGAAGAAAGAAAGATGAGAAAAAAAAACTGAAGAAAACTATGTTTACCCAACTAAAAATTTCAGACTTGACCAATTCATAAAAGCCAGTAGCTTGTCTCAACAGGAATTAGAGTCTCAGGCTTATGGTATTTCATTAGCTTGCATTCTTCTTCAGCTCCAAAAGATGAAAATGAAAAAAAAAGGTTTTGTGTTCATGAGTAGCTGCAGAAAAAAAAAGGTCTGTGTGCACTCACATACAAAAACAACAGTAATTGCCTAGAGCGTAAAATAAGTGTAAGAAACATAAACATTCCTGGGAGAAGAACACGGCCCCCTCCCAGTGCTGTCTGAACAAAAACATCCCTACACATCAATGACTGAACCTTCACAAAAATGAGCAGGTAAAAATAAACTCTCTAACGACACACATGCTGCCCCTGAGGGCGTCAATTCTGACAAAATCATTGAACTAATAACTTACTTGCAGAACTGATCTCACACTTTCAAACAAAAGATAAATTTAGGTAAAAAAGGAGGAACTAATTACTTCTACTAAACAATCTGGACCTCACACCAAGTGATAATACAATCACGACCTGCCTACTGAAAATATAAAATGTCAACTGCAAAACAAAAACTACACATTTCAGTGCTATTTGCCAAGATCGTTTGCAGGTTTCTGTGAGCAGTTCTTTGTTTTGATTCATCTCACAAGTCTGTGCTACGCAAGAAAAACCCTGCATCTCGACTCTGGACAGTAACCATGAATCTGTAGGAGGACAGAGCTACAGAAAACTGAAACTCACTCCTACTAGTTGATAAGCAGATTAACAAACCAATAAAACTCACTCGAAAAATTAAACTTCAAGAAAGCACAAAGAAGATTTTCATGAGGTTAAAAATTTTCATCCATATAAATTCATCATAGCACAAGTAGCGCTCGTATAAAAAGCAGTTCTGAAATCAAAACTAGGAAAAGAAATTGTGTTCGTTCAACTCAACAGCTAGCTATTTTAATTTATTACTCCTTGGAGGGGTCGACAACATGCCCCGCAAAGACAACTGCGCCGGTCGCCTCCTCCACTATGTAGTAAGCAAACGGATGGTCGGCGATGAAATTCACTTGTGGAGGCGGTGGCCTCCTCCCCCTTCGTGCGCATCTAGGAGCCGAGATGACCATAGTGACCGCGGCGGCTTCAGTACCTTCCTCGTTTACCTCAACGACGGCCTTGTGGATGACATCCTCCACTACAATCGGCAAGCCAGAGCCGTCGTCCTCCACCATGTCAGCTAGGTCGCCTTCCAGGCAGAATGGCAGCTCGAGCCCCAGCTTCTTGAGGACGGCAACGACGCTGCTGTGGAAGGACAGCTTGAACTTTGGCACCCGAAACTCGCTGAGGGTGATCTGCACCTCCGGCAGGTGGTCCTGCAGGAACCCAGGCCGGGACGCTATCGTGTCCAGAAGCCCCAGCAGACCGTCATGGGCGTCCGGGAGGAAGATGCACATCGAGAACTGCGTATGCCCGCTATGATCGGAGTTAGATGTCGCCTGTTCCTGGTAATCTGGCGCCGCCATCTTGTACTGGAGCATGAGCACCTTGAACCCGTCATGCACGGCGACGAACTGTGAGTCCGAGCTCTGCATGAAGGGCACGTCGACCTGGCTGCGGTCGAGCCGGTAAAATGGTTCGTGTGCGGTGTGCCTCTTGTCGAACGGCTGGTCCTCCCAATTGCCCTTGAAGTACATGGCGTTGCCGAGCACGACCCGAGTCGCCGGGCTTATCGACCCCGCCGGGAGGACCGAGTCGATGAGGTTCCTCGTCACCTGAGCCACCCACCCGTTGATCTGGCTCCGGGCTGCCTCCGGCGTGCCGCGGAAGTCGACGCTGCTGGCCTCGGCCTTGTACGTGCCCACGACGGCCTCACGGAAGGACAGCTTCAGACACCTCGTCAGGTCGCTCCAGATGCCACACGCGAATGCTATGCGGGGGCCGCCCGAGGCGGACCTGTCTTGGAGTGCGTCCGCCGCCATGTGCGACACGAAGTTCTCGAGCTCGCTGCGCGACCGTGCGCCGAGCACGCGGAGGATCTCGTCCAGTGTGGCATCCCGGGCGCCGGCGGCCAGGAGCGCCAGAGCGGTGTAGATGGACAGCGGCGAGAAGACTAGGTTGTCGTCCACGCTCCCATCGGCAAGGCGCCTCGCGAGCCCGACGGCGAGCGCTGCCAGGCCGCTGGAGCCAGGATTCCCCGTCGGCCCTACTACATCCAACTGCACCGACGGGTTTTTGGTCACCGGCAACTCATATCCTGTGGCAGGTAAGCTCTGCTCCTTCAGTGCATCCCTCTGTTTCGGTTGCCCAACACGGGCAGAGCCGGACTGCCGCGACTTCTTGCGCGGACGAGGCATCGTCGTCGCTGGATCCATCAAGGCCGCGCTTTTTTTGCTTCGTGGTTTCATCGTTCCTGCCTTCGTGGCGACTTTTTTTGCTTGCTTTGATTGATGATTGATTCCTGCATAGAGAATAAGAATCCATCCGTGCATCGGCCTCCGATCTGATTTGGATTTCGATTTGGAGTTATAATTATAACGTCGGTTTCGCTTTTTTTTAGGAGAAAATGTCGGTTTCCTTTTTTATTGCTAATAATGGGCTAGTTTGAGTTAGCCAGTTTGGACTTATTCGGCCTCCCTCGATATCCTCTACGGCCCAGTTTTATACCTTCTTTCATTTATTATTTTTGCAATTTCTTTAAAAAAGAACACCTTCGCATTTCCCTATAAAAAGTCAAAAATTACTACTTAGTATGTACCTTTGCATCTATTTGGTGCCATTCAAAGCTCCCTCGCCTATGCTGATTTTCTGGATAAATCTTTATACATATTATATTATATTCACAACCAAAGTATTATATGGCCAACGTTGATATATTGTCAAGTTTCATCTATGCAAACACAATATCATGCACAAAATGTTGAGCTTGTGATAGAGTCCGCCTCCCTTACCATCCGATCATCAACGTAGCAAGCAAAACCTGTGTAATTTTTTTCTTCAAATTCTAATGTGTGCAACTACAGAATTCAGGCGTGCCGAACGCATGGCCTCCTGGCCGCACAATCTCCCGCATTGCATTTGGGGCGCTAGGTGGCATCTGGCCGGGGCGACGCACATAGGCCCATAAGGTGGCAAGAGGCGTTGGTCATGGGGGGCTTGATCCAAGATGACAGTCGAGGCAACACTCTCTCCTCGGCAAAATTGAAGTGGGTGGTCGAGGTGACCACACTCCTCAGCAAAATACAAGCATGTTTATTATGCACACAGTCATACTAAATTGGTCATGGAACTAGCACATGTTGAAGTTGTACCGAAACGTTGCACACATGGTTATACAAAGTTGGCTAGAGAAGGTATGCACAAGTTGATTCATTCATAGTCACATTTATTGGCAACTGCAGTAGTTAGAGTTGTATAGAGAGTGGTATGATGAGTGTGGACGATCTGCACACGGGGGCATCTGCATCCGCTTTTTAAAAATGTACTTTTTACGTGTTTTGTAATGTTTAAAAATTCTGTAAAAAAATTATGCATACATGTTGGCAAAGGTATGTCCACGGTACAAAATTTTGTGTAAAAAAATATTTTTGTTTTGTCTCAGTAAAAAAGACAAATTTTACTGCTTGTAAATAGCGTTTCACGGCACAAAATTTTGTCTTTTTTGCACAGGCTACAAAATAGGTTGTTTTTCTGTGAAACTTTCTGCACACATATAGAATATGAAGATGTCCACGCACACCCTTTTTCAGAATTTTTTGACATTGCAAAATGTGTTTTCCAAAGTGGGTTCATATGTACCCAGGTTCATCCATGCACTTCTCGTGGTATGATGGCTCACTTTTGTTCTGGAATAGTAGTAGGAGTTCCTAACAACCAATGCTAGTGTTGGTTGAGAAATAAGCAGAAGTTGCACAATTATTATTATTTTTGGCTTTGAGCCATGTCAGTGAGGCGGTAGTGTTGCACCCCGCTTTGTTCTCATCCTTGAAGGAAATATGCTCTACAGGCAATAATAAAGTTATTATTTATTTCCTCGTACATGATAAATGTTTATTATTCATGCTAGAATTGTATTAACCGGAAACATAATACATGTGTGAATACATAGACAAACATAGTGTCACTAGTATGCATCTACTTGACTAGCTCGTTAATCAAAGATGGTTAAGTTTTTTAACCATAGACATGAGTTGTCATTTGATTAATGGGATCACATCATTAGGAAAATGATGTGATTGACTTGACTCATTCCGTTAGCTTAGCACTTGATCGTTTAGTATGTTGCTATTGCTTTCTTCATGACTTATACATGTTCCTATGACTATGAGATTATGCAACTCCCGTTTACCGGAGGAACACTTTGTGTGCTACCAAACATCACAACGTAACTGGGTGATTATAAAGGTGCTCTACAGGTGTCTCTGAAGGTACTTGTTGAGTTGGCGTATTTCGAGATTAGGATTTGTCACTCCGATTGTCGGAGAGGTATCTCTGGGCCCTCTCGGTAATGCACATCACTATAAGCCTTGCAAGCAATGTGACTAATGAGTTAGTTGTGGGATGATGCATTACATAACAAGTAAAGAGACTTGCCGATAACGAGATTGCACTAGGTATTGAGATACCGACGATCGAATCTCGGGCAAGTAATATACCGATGACAAAGGGAACAACGTATGTTGTTATGCGGTTTGACCGATAAAGATCTTCATAGAATATGTGGGAACCAATATGAGCATCCAGGTTCCGCTATTGGTTATTGACCGGAGACGTGTCTCGATCATGTCTACATAGTTCTCGAACTCGTAGGGTCCACACGCTTAAAGTTCGGTGACGATCGGTATTATGAGTTTTTGTGTTTTGATGTACCGAAGGTAGTTTGGAGTCTCGAAAATGATCACGGACATGACGAGGAGTCTTGAAATGGTCAAGACGTAAAAATTGATATATTGGACGACTATGTTCGGACACCGGAAGTGTTTCGGGAGGTTTCAGACATTTACCGGAGTACCGGGGGGGTTACCGGAACCCCCCGGGAGTATATTGGGCCTAATGGGCCTTAGTGGGAGAAGAGAAGGGGCGGTCAGGGCAGTCGCGCTCCCCCTCCCCCTCTAGTTCGAATTGGACAAGGAGGGGGGGCGCACCCCTTTTTCCTTCTGTTCTCTCCCTTCCTTCCCTTTTCCTACTCCTTCAAGAAAAGGAGGAGTCCTACTCCCGGTGGGAGTAGCACTCCCCCCTTGGCGCGCCCTCCTCCTGGCCGGCCGCCTCCCCCTTGCTCCTTTATATACGGGGGCAGGGGAGCACCTCTAGACACACAAGTTGACATGTTGATCTCTCCCAGCCGTGTGCAGTGCCCCCCTCCACCATATTCCACCTTGGTCATATCGTAGCGGTGCTTAGGCGAAGCCCTGCGTCGGTAGCAACATCATCACCATCATCAGGCCGTCGTGCTGACGGAACTCTCCTGTGAAGCTCTGCTGGATCGGAGTTCGCGGGACATCATCGAGCTGAACGTGTGCTGAACTCGGAGGTGCCGTATGTTCGGTACTTGGATCGGGCAGATCGTGAAGACGTACGACTACATCAACCGCGTTGTGCTAACGCTTCCGCTTTCGGTCTACGAGGGTATGTGGACTCACTCTCCCCGCTCGTTGCTCTGCATCACCATGATCTTGCGTGTGCGTAGGAAATTTTTTGAAATTACTACGTTCCCCAACAGTGGCATCTGAGCTAGGTTTATGCGTAGATGTTATATGCACGAGTAGAACACAAGTGAGTTGTGGGCCATACAAGTCATACTGCTTACCAGCATGTCATACTTTGGTTCGGCGATATTGTTGGATGAAGCGGCCCGGACTGACATTACGCGTACGCTTACGCGAGACTGGTTCTACTGACGTGCTTTGCACACAGGTGGCTGGCGGGTGTCTATTTCTACAACTTTAGTAGAACCGAGTGTGGCTACGTCCGGTCTTTGTGAATGTTAAAACAACACTAACTTGACGAAATATCGTTGTGGTTTTGATGCGTAGGTAAGAATGGTTCTTGCTCAGCCCGTAGCAGCCACGTAAAACTTGCAACAACAAAGTAGAGGACGTCTAACTTGTTTTTGCAGGGCATGCTGTGATGTGATATGGTCAAGACATGATGCTATATTTTATTGTATGAGATGATCATGTTTTGTAACCGAGTTATCGGCAACTGGCAGGAGCCATATGGTTGTCGCTTTATTGTATGCAATGCAATCGCCCTGTAATTGCTTTACTTTATCACTAAGCGGTAGTGATAGTCGTAGAAGCAATAGTTGGTGAGACGACAACGATGCTACGATGGAGATCAAGGTGTCGCGTCGGTGACGATGGTGATCATGACAGTGCTTCAGAGATGGAGATCACAAGCACAAGATGATGATGGTCATATCATATCACTTATATTGATTGCATGTGATGTTTATCATTTATGTATCTTATTTTGCTTTGATTGATGGTAGCATTATAAGATGATCTCTCACTAAATTTCAAGGTAAAAGTGTTCTCTCTGAGTATGCACCGTTGCCAAAGTTCGTCATGCCGAGACACCATGTAATGATCGGGTGTGATAAGCTCAACGTTCATCTACAGCGGGTGCAAGCCAGTTTTGCACACGCATGATATTCAGGTTAAACTTGACAAGCCTAGCATATGCAGATATGGCCTCGGAACACTGAGACTGAAAGGTCGAGCGTGAATCATATAGTAGATATGATCAACATAATGATGTTCACCATTGAAAACTACTCCATTTCACGTGATGATCGGTTATGGTTTAGTTGATTTGGATCACGTGATCACTTAGATGATTAGAGAGATGTCTATCTAAGTGGGAGTTCTTAAGTAATATGATTAATTGAACTTAAATTTATCATGAACTTAGTACCTGATAGTATTTTGCTTGCCTATGTTATTGTAGATAGATGGCCCGTGTTGTTGTTCCGTTGAATTTT